AAACAAACAATCATAACCTCTGTTTAAAATAAATTTCTTTGAGAAACATTTTTTTGGGGTAAATGATATTGTCAACTAAAACTTCTGTTGGTTTTCTCGTGCAGGAAGGGTTAGACGACTGTGTCACTTCCTTTCAAAATCGGGACATCGATGGACCCGCTCTTCTGGTAAGTTCGGTTGAAATACTTTAAGTTAAATTATACTTTTTTATCACTAGATGGTAGCACTAGCACAGATTTGTAAATGTTTGCTAACATTAGGAGATAATTGTATCATGTTTATCCACTGCATAGCGGGTCATAGAAAGGCTCTGAGTTTTTAGCTCATAGCTCCATCTCTTGACCGATTTGAGATCTGATTACAGCCGCGGCAGCTATTGAGGATTCCCTCTTGTTTTAACTATGTATTTTATGCCATTCGTTTGCTTATTAGCTATCGAAAAGTTGGTCACTGGCTCGTTTTTTATGTAACATATTCAGAAAAATTAGTTGAGTTTTTGGTTTATAGTTTTATCTTTTATTAAACATAAAATATAACCGTGAATAGTTTTAAAATGGGCCTTAAAAATATTTGTTTGTTATCTTATTTTCAAGCAATTTTTAGGTTTGGTTATTTTATAGACTTAAAAATAAGTCTTATTTGATTATCACTGTTTCAATAAGACTGGGTGTGACCAAATAGGTGGTTAATGTGCCGGACTGTAAATCCTGTTGCGGTAAAAACGCGCTCCATACTTTGGATGACCTACACGAGTGACGGTCAAATCCCACTATTAAAATAGAGTAGCCCAAGAGTTGGCGGTGGGTGTTCACCAGCTGCCTTCCGGGACGGTTAGCAGAAATAGACCTTGTGTAGCTTTCGACAACTTGCTTATTTGTAGAATACAAAACTACACGATGGCTATCTGTGGTCTGCCCCCCTGCAGGTATCGAATCCAAATTTTTAGTATTATAAGCTCTTAGACTTACCGCTGAGCTAACAGAGGCCGGAAACAAATAAAAATAATAATTTAATATTTGATTACTACACTTTCATTTCAAAATTAAATTTAATTATATCATTTTTTTGTCTAAGTGTTTGCGTAATTACACATAGTGACTTTAAATGTGATTCTGAATTAATTTACTTAATTTAGTAACAAAATGTATAATAAGTCGAAATTTTCATGTATATAATAAGGTATCACGTGCATCAACATGATATACGTGAAAATGAAGACTGAACTCATCCGCCTTTTTACAGAGGAACCCGTATTAGTATGCACAATTTATGCCCTCTGGTGACTCAGTGGCAAGTCTTACAGCTTACAACCCTGAAGCTTGGTTTCGATACCTGCGGTGGGCAGAGCACGGGTAGTTCATTTTATAGTTTTGTGGTTAATAACAAATAAACGAAGCAAAATTTAATATATTATCTGTGCACTTTAAACCGTCGGTGCGGTGTGTTTTGAACTCTTGTAAAAACGTATAAACAGTCACGTGACTATCACATTAGCGCAGTTGTACCACCCAGTATCTTATCCTGTATCGTTTACAATAAACTTCCAAGGACTTACGAAGGGCCGTTTAAAAAAAATGTATATACCACAGAGTAGAACAGAAAACCAGAAACTGGTGCAGTCTGAAAAAAAAAAAAAACTTGGCTTCAAAACTGGCCAAGAGATGTCGCTTGAAAATAATTACATGGATTTTGTTTAAGTGTTAGGTTTTTCGCAAATTTTGAAGCGAAAGCCTAGAGGGAAGGCAATTAATTAGTCAACACCACACACCGCCCACTCTTCGGCTACTCTTGTCAGATCGAATACTGTATTTGACTGTCACTCTTATAATGCACCAGAACTTCAGTTACACTGTTTGGCAAGCTAACCACTGGGATCACGTTCTCCCTGGTTAGGTGGAACTGAAAACTACACTGTATTTTCCAAATTTTCGAAGTTACATCGTATTCAGACTCGTTATGTGGGTGCTATGCGTCTGGTTGAAAAATCGTGTTTAAGCGCCCCTCTCAGAATATAAATATTATTATGGTATTTCAAAAAAACGGCCTCTGTCGGAAGATCACAGCATCTTTTTTTGTTTATATATACTATTAGAAGTCCAAACGTAGGATAAAAATTACATAGTAATTAGTATCTGATATTAAAAAATAAGTAGTTAATCAATAACACAGGCATGTGATAGTTTTATTGTTAACACAGGCCTGCGATGGTTTTATTGTTAACACAGGCCTGTGATAGTTTTATTGTTAAACACAGGCCTGTGACAGTTTTATTGTTAACACAGGCCTGTGATAGTTTTATTGTTAAACACAGGCCTGTGATAGTTTTATTGTTAACACAGGCCTGCGATGGTTTTATTGTCTAGAAATTTGTACATGTTCTACAGTAATTCCTGTACGCTGAATCCGAAAATGAAATTCATTTTTATCCATCACGTACAGATTTTTCACAAAACGTCATAATGCAATACATAAAATTAAAACCACAA